CAGACAAGTAGATGTTATGTGGTAGTTTCAGGAAAGCCGTAAACCCAAATACCCTGAACTCGCAACTTGCTTCGCTGAGCAGGATCACCCAAGACTCCGTCTCACACTCTCCAGACCTTCTTGAAACCCTTTGGAAGACCCTACGAGCAACCTTATGCATATATGATATATGCTTGTCTCTGTGTATATATATATATAGATATATATGTGTGTGTGTAAACAGTTCTCTCAATATATATATATATATAAGTATATATATATATATATAAATATAAATATGAGTATAAGTATATATATATATACACACATCTACACATGTACGCAATCCGATAAACAACCCACAAACCCGGCCCTGCGAAGCCTTCACAGAAGGTCCTACTCTTCAGGTTGCGGGAGTGTTTTCATTTAGAGCTTTAAGGTTTAGAGCTCGGGGTCAAGTATATAGGCTTAGATCTTGATTTTGTAGGGGGTTTTAGGCTTTACGGAGTTGGGCATTTAGACTATGTAGACTCTATACCCTAGACCCTAAAGCATAGATCCCTGATAGACTCCGTAAAATGAACCCAACACCCTAAACCCTACTTGGAGGATCATGGGACGTAGTAACTAGGGTTGTAAATAAGGTAACTATAATTATAACCCCAATTAGGGTACCTATAACCCTAGTTACTAAGTCCCATGATCCTCCAAGTTTGCCCCTATAACAAAACTTCACCAGCCTCAACCCTAAACCCTATACCCTATACCCCTATAGCAAAGCCTCACCAGCCTCCACGCAGTCCAGGAGCATCCTTCCTTCGCCGTCCCGGCGACTGCAAAGAAGCTTCGGCTGCGTGCCGCCCTGCCGGGCTGGGATGGGATCAAGGGGTTTAGCTTTAGTTTAGGGTTTAGGGTTTAGATTTAATTTAGGGTTTAGGGTTTAGGGCTTTTGGTTTAAATTCAATTTAGGGGCCTTTGGGTTTTGATTTCATTTAGTGTTTGAGGTTAAGGGCGCAGAGTTTAGATTCAATTCTAGGTTTTAGGCGTAGGGTTTAGATTTAGTTTAGGGTTTGCCATTTGCTGGATATGGAGAGTTTCTGGTTTAGGGTTTCAGGGGCTGAGATGGGATCAAGGGGCGGAACATTAACGTGAAACCTGCGAGTGTCGGGGAGGGCACTCTGCAGCAGGATGTTGCGGTATGTAAAACGAGCAATCAGTGAATCAGGAGCTGTACCATCGACCCCTAAATCATGATAGAAATCCTGCATTACCTCAAGGACCCTACACGATGGGATTTACGGTATATTCCTAATTCAGGGTAATGCAGGATTTATTTATATCATCAACCTTATCAAACTTCCCTGAGCTCTGCGCCCCAAATAGCCTGCATCCGAAAGGCCTGAAGCTAAAACCCCCAAGGCTGCCCCCCTGACCACCTAAAGCTGTACCCTATACAGCCCCTACTAAACTACTAAACTTCGAACTTAACATCTGCCTGTAGCCCAAAAGATTCGAAACTCCTACCCTCTGCACGGGACATATGATAAAAAGACCATCCTCAGCAGCTATAAATTCTTTGGGCTTGTCTGCTCCCTTTTTGCTTAGAAAGCGATGGCCGCCAACTCAGGAGACTGCCTCCTCAAGCGATCTCGTCGGGAATCCAGGCGTGCTTTTCCAACCATGTGGGGAGTTCTCTAAATCAGGGTCCCTTTTTAGGTCCCCAATATACCACGGCACCCTTATAAACGAAAAGGACCCTCAAAGGGACCCTAAGTTAGGGAAACGACCCTGTGCCAAACCCCAAGTTTCTTCCTTCCTGGGGCCTGCTCTGAAGCCTAAGGGCGTCCTCCACGGAGAGTGCAATCTCACGCCCTTCTTCAGCCTCCTCGTCTCCTCTGTTAAGGGCTCTCTCTGCCCGCTTCGCGACTCCCTTCAAGATCCGCCTCTCTACGGCCCGTCTGCTCCTCCCTCGCCCCGGTGCACGAGGTTGCTGTAGGTTGTAAGTAGGCTAGGGTCTCGCCCCGCAACAGTTTTTTGAGGCACTTGGGCCTGCCAAAGCAGTTAGCGCTTTGCGTTTGGCCTGTTGGTGGCGACTGCTCTTCAGTCCTGGTCCTGTGCGTGGAACCACGAGGCAAGCAAGAAATGCGAAGGCATCACACAAAACAGGAAAACAACCTGTTCAAGAGACCTAATTCCTATGCAAACCCCAAACCCAATCCTTTCGCCCTCCTATTATCCCTAAACCCTAAACCCTTTAACCTCAAACCCTTCAAACCCTGAACGCCGTAAACCTCAAACCCTTTCAACCCCAACCCCTTTAAAACCCTAAACCCTTTAAACCCCAAACCCTTTAAACCCCAAACTCTTTAAAACCCCAACCCCTTTGAAACCCTAAACACCTTTAAAACCCTAAACCCTAAACCCTCTATTTTCAACCCAAAAGCCCTTAAAACCCTAAACCCTAAACCCTCTAATTTAAATCCTAAACCCCCTAAAACCCTAAACCCTAAACCCTCTAATTTAAACCCTAAACCCCTTAGAACTCTAAACCCTAAACCTTTTAATTTAAACCCTAAAGCCCTTAAAAACCTAAACCCTCTACTTTAAACCCTAAACCCCTTAAAACCCTAAGCCCTAAACCCTTGAAGGTCCAGAACGACGACCCCCCTGGAAGCGCGCCTCGGAGGCACCGAGGAGATCGCGGATCTGCTCGCAGTAGACCTTCCCGGTTCTGATAGGGTTTAGGGCTTAGGGTTCTTAAGGGGTTTAGGGTTAAGAGCTTAGGGTTCTTAAGGGGTTTAGGGTTTAGGGTTTAGGGTTCTTAAGGGGTTTAGGGTTTAGGGCTTAGGGCTTAGGGTTCTTATAGGGTTTAGGGTTTAGGGCTTAGGGTTCTTATAGGGTTTAGGGTTTAGGGCTTAGGGTTCTTATACGGTTTAGGGTTCAGGGCTTAGGGTTCTTATAGGGTTTAGGGTTTAAGGCTTCGGGTTCTGAGTTTAGGGTTTAGGGTTTAGGGCTTAGGGTTCTTATAGGGTTTAGGGTTTAGGGCTTAGGGTTCTTATAGGGTTTAGGGTTCAGGGCTTAGGGTTCTTATAGGGTTTAGGGCGTAGGGTTCCGAGTTTAGGGTTTAGGGCTTAGGGTTCTGAGTTTAGGGCTTAGGGTTTAGTTTAGGGAAAGCAGATGATCTAGGTTTTAGGGTTTAGGATGTAGAGTCTTAGAGTTCAAGTTGGGGCTTACGGATCTTACGGTTTAGGCTTTAAATTTAGCGTTTGTGGAGATGTTGGTAGGCTTTAGAGCTTAAGTTTAGGGTTTAAGCTTCACGGTTTGGGGCTTAGCGTCCTTGAGGATTAGGGCAGGGCTGCTTCAAGGGTTCCGTGATCGTACGTACTGTCAGGCTTGTAGCTTGCGGGGTTCGGGCTTAGGGTTTGGGTTTTAGGGTTATAGGGTTTAGGGATTAGGGTTTAAGCTTCACAGCTAGTTGTTGCATGCTCTTCTCGTTTTGGCGAAGGGCCCCTGCCTAATTTATAATGGGATAGAATGGCTTTATATATGGCATACTGCCGCTAGGTTATCATTGGGACCAGAAGGGAAGACTTTGTTTGGATCTAATACAGGAGCCTTGATCATTAGCTTGTAGAATAAGGTTTGGGGTCTTCTTATCTGTAATTATAGTATAAAGGACGCCAAAACCCTATTCTAGCTACTAGGGCCCCTAGATTTGATGGGGTCTTAGGCCTGAGCAAACACTAAGATCAAGAAGCACAACAACAAGAATGCGCTTAAACGTCGGGTTTACGGTCATTTGTGTCCAGGGCGTAGGGCTTTGCTTAATCTATCAAGGTTTCCATTCGGCGAAACACAGATTCAAGCTTAAGCTTCTGAGCTCCAAACTTTTGCATTGCAGAGATAGAGCTTCACAGGGGCCTGGGGATTTTAGGATACATCTTCGTAGAACTGTTTAAGCGCTGACGAGGGTACTTAGGAACTTTCAAAGTATGTTCAGCCCATGCGCCTGCACCGCCCCTAAACTCTAAATGACTGGAAGCCCCACAACAAAGCCGCCTTTAAGGAAACCCTAAAGCAACCCTCCTCCCAGCGTCCGTGCCTCGAGCATAGAGATGCGAACTTCGCCACAGCTTTGGCCCTCAATGAGGCGACGGATAGCATGGTGGGCGAGGCCCGGACCTGCTAGAAACGTTGAGGGCGGGGCGGGGGGTGAACATTCAGAGTGTAGGGCAGGGTTTAGGGTTTAGGGTACGCTCTAGGATTTCAATGGAATTTGTTGAGGGCTTCAGGGGCTTCGGGTTGCTAGTTTGAGGGTTTCAGCTTCAGCAAACGTAGTTCAACAGCACAAACTTTAAACACACACAAACCTCAAAACTTGACCTAGTCGCGCAAGTTTTAGGGCTGCGGTTTGGATGACTGAAATTTCAAGCAAAGAACGTAATTGAACCTTTTCGGGGTTTACAGGTTGGGGCCCACTAGCTCCAACTAAACGCTGAAAAGCGAGCTCGTCAGCGCCTCCATCGTAGGATCTTGGGACTTAGTAAGGAAGGTACAGACGTAGCTCAATTGGGGATAATGATATTGAGTGTGCAACCGAATAAACGATTTGGGTGTTTCGGGATCAGGATCCACATCTCTCCTCTTCGCTGACTCTACGCAGAAGCTTTAACATTATATCAAAAGGCATTTTGCTAAGGCTATTAATAGCCATTTTTGGATGGAACCCCATGGACTAGCATATGTATTACCTATCTATATATAAATACATACATACCTACCTACCTACCTACCTACCTACCTACCTACCTACCTACCTACCTACCTACCTACCTACCTACCTACCTACATACCTACGTACGTACGTACGTACGTACGTACGTACATACATACATACATACATACATACATACATACATACATACATACATAGATATATAGATCATGTAGTGTTTTCTTTGGTTTCGAAAACCAATGATTTCCTGACGCTGCTGGGCACTCCGGCGAGTGTCGTCGCCCTCCCCCAGAATGCTGTGCCTCGGCTTCTAGGATCCGGCCCAGGAATTACAAAACGCCATCCGCCACAAAGTCCCCATAGAACCTGTAGGACACCCTTCTCAAACCCTCATAATCCTGCAAATTACGCTAAAAATTCTATACACAAACCCCGAACGCTAAACCCTAAAACCCAAACCCTAAACCCCCAAACCAGGAGCTCGAGAAGGCCGGGTCTCGTTCCCAAATTCCGACCTCCCCAAATGAAATATACAGGCAAACCATGAAGGAGCCCCAAAGAGGTGGCAGTTTTCTACAGATAAATTCTCTGAGGCCTAAAACCTCAATCGCAAACCCGAACATATATTACACTACCCGGTTTAAATGCAAAAACCTAAACCCTAAACCCCCAAAAATAAAACTCTCAAGCCTAAAGCCACAAGCCCAAGCCGAAACAGCGCCCAGCTACGTCTTTCCGGAGCCAGTGGCACCGTAAGCAAAGACGCAGGAGGAACCTCCTGAGGCCGCGTGCTCCACCTTTGCGGAGGAGGAGACCGAGAATCAAAGTACGAGGGTTTAGGGTTTAGGGTTTAGGGTTCAAAGTACTAGGGTCAGAACAGTTTTTAAAGTTTTCATGGCTACCTTGATAAGCATAATGATACTGACAATTACCGAATCAAAGCAACAATATCTTAAGGAGAATAAACATAGTGATATATCTTTGTATACATATACATCTGTATACATCATCTACACCAGTAATAACCATGATCATAAGTTGATTCGTTGACAATACTTACACTGTTCTACACTTGCTTTGGGATGCAAGCTTTGGTGTGAAAGGCCTCACGGCGTTCGAATTTGGGGGGAGCTTAGAGGCTTAGGGGGGGGGGAGTTGTCTTATTGTGCCGCGGCCACTTTTTCGATTCCGTCCGTTGAGGGTTCAGGGTTCGCCAAATCCAAGGATCCAGACCTCCAGGATCGGGTTGGGCTCTAGTTATAAGGGACTCTACAGTACGGGATCCACAGCAAGGGTTGGGTGTTTAAGGGTTCTGTGACTGTTTGAACAGGGTTCTAGGGATTCGATGGTTTGGGGGTGTTGATGATTTCGGGTTCAAGGCTTCAGCCTTTGTTTACGATAGGGTGTTGCGTTTAGTTTAATTCCAGGATTCTAATGGAACACAGCACAACCCGATTCAGGCTTCAGTGGCGCTGATAGTTTCCTGATGATTTTTGATGTTCAGGATTTATGCAGGGTTCAGAGCTGGGCTGTGGGGTTCAAATCCATTTTCCAACTCTGCGGTTGAGGGTCTAAGTCGGGCGATGTCTCTCGTAAGGGCTTGGGAGTGCCATCCCTATCACAAACCGTCTGTGCAAGCGGGTTTGCAAAAGAGCAGCGCGCCAGCTCTAAACCCTAAACCAGAAACTCTCGCCTAAACCCTAAAGCCTGCACTCACAACCCTAAACCCCTGAGTTCAATCGGAAAAGCGCAGCAAATTACGGCTGAGTCAACTCTGTGCGGTCTTTTACACGCTGGGGACTTGAGCATCTAGAGTCGTTTACTCGTAAAAAAGGCTCCACCCTTCACCATCAGGCGGGATGTCGATGGTTTCGCGCCTCTTCACAAAACTGACCTTCATGTTCCTGGAACGGTGTTGTGCCGATCCATCTCTCCAAAGGTTGGCTGGAATCATGAGACTGGAAGTTGTACGACTTCTCAACAAAGAAGGTTGATCCCTCGGAGCCATACATCCACCGGATTCGCTTGTTGAGTGCGTCTCACACACTCTGACTGAAGAGGCTCTGAGCTATGCCTACAGTCCGTATTCTGCTTCCTTTTTGGTGTTACCTTACAGGATCCTAACACAACTAATTGGTTTAACCACGAAAAGGGACCCCTAAGGGGGCTCAAGGTTTGTCAAAACCCAAAGAAACCTCAAACAGGGGAACCATTAGCATTCTTCTATTCAGTCGAGTCGGCTCCTGAACCCCCCCCCCCCCCCC